TTCTGCTTACCAAAAACGGCCCACTTCAAGTTTTCATGTATCCTATCCGTGCAGTGCCCCTGATGGAGTGTGCCTCGGTGACACAAGCACTGCTGTTGGACTACAGAAGCTTGACCTGAAGGAGAACCACAACTGTGCTAAGACCACTGTCCTGCTTTGTTCTGCTGTTCATGCGTATTCTGGGTTGCCGCTTGTCGCTTGATGTCGAAAACGAGTTGCCCTTTGCACATGTCTTGCAGTCTCTCTTTCCCTCTCCTTGTGCGGTGGTTGAGTGGCAGCATGTTTGTTCGTGTGCGTTTGGCCTTGCCGACAAGGTGCTCCTGGCACACGGAACTCGCAGTGCCAGACCCTGGCCCTTTGACCTGTGAGCCTGGAGCATATTCCCAAGGCTGGCGCCCCGGTGTGGTCAACCAAGCCGTGTGCACCAAGCCCATGACAAACACTGCACTCCTGTCTCTGTTTGGCTGTGGACCATTGGTCCGATTGTGGGACCAGTCACCAACTTGTACACGCTGAACTGTTGGCGGCATGCGTTGGTTTCTATGCTGGGGAGCCTGTGCCGGCTGGCAACCTGATCAAAGACATCACCTGCAACACAACTGTGAACAGTTGTGAGCTGTCGGAAGAAGGCGGATGCCACTTGAAGAGATTCCCAAAATAGTGTAATGCAGCAAAAAAATTTGACGATCTTCGCCGAGGTGCTGTGAAATCTGTGAATTTGAGACACTCGTGATGCCTTTATTATTGGTGCCAGGAAGCTAGTGATGGAGCTTGGCAGCCGACGAAGGCACAGCTTTCTTCCACACAGCTAGCTGGATGACATACATTCAGATCTGTTGAGTTTTCGTTCTTGCACGAAGCTCTTGTTGAGACGTCACACCGATTTGCACAGGTGCCCAAAGATGAGCTTTGGCTTCCTGATGGCACTGTGGTGCCCATGCGTTTGTACCCAAACTCCCAGAACTTGGTACACCAGGTAGCAGCCTCAGCATGGGCATGGTCGCATCTGATTGCACCTACGTGCAAACCCGTCAGTTGTGGCAATGTGGGTGCTTGCAGTTCGCAGGGTAGGAATGACGACCTAGTCAGGTCGACACATTTATTGTTTCGATGGTACTATTACTTTAGTTGGCTGCCGGCCATTGGTACCAGAGAGTAGCTAGCAACAACGGAGTTGGCAAATCATCGAAACGATCCGCCTCATGCACTCTGCTTGACATAGTCGTATGTTCGATATTTGCTGTTGAGATGATGGCGGGTTGCTGACGATGGTCGTGGAAATGTCCGACATCCAGGAATGTGGTGCTTTGGAGATGTGTGACGTTGGCTACCACCGAGCATGCCCTAGTGATCTTTGTTTGAAACAGAGCCTGATGCCACCATAGATCCTCGGGCCTTCGGAATGCACTTCCGATGAGTTCTTCCCTTTCGTGCAGATGTGGAGTGAGGATGCGTGGTCGTGGCTGGTCCATGCTGGTCTTGGTGAGACGCGAGCAGAAACACACCAGATCTCAAGCGTCTAACCCTGTCGGAAACCACATTTTAATTGTCTGGAAGAGGTGCGCTGTTACATCCGCCGAGTTGCTAGAGGCCTGAACGGGAAGGCATTGAGACCATGCTGAACAAATTAGTAGGCTGCCGGCAAACGGCAGGTAATTAATAGTGTGGCGTCGTCAATCCTTGCAAAAATGCTGCAGTACGCAGGTGCGTTGTGTGTTTAGTCAATCTTAACAGCCAAGGCCCAGATGAGGGCACAGGCCCGTATTGCATGGGCGCTTCATCATGGTGCCGATGTCGTTGGACAGTGTTGCTCTTCGCTTTGTCGGTTGTGATTGTGAGCAACGCTTCTCACTTCCCGCCGCAGCGGACTCCGGCCGGCTTTCGGATGGTTTAGAGTTTAGAGGCTCTCCCTGCCTGTCCAGGTGCCTGCTCTTTTCGCCACTGTTTGTGGGGACCAAAGTGCTTCTTCAAGGCGTACGGGCGTACGGGGATGCTGTTGCCAGCAACCGCCTCTCGTTCTGACGCTGAGAGGAGGCCTCCCTGTGAGCTGGGAGCCTTTCTGTAGCTGCGCAGCACAGCGAAGATCGGACCTCTCAGAAAAGCAGTTGCTGCGGCTGAACCGCGTTGCCAGGCATGTGGTACATGTACGATCCGTGCATGCAGCACGAAGATCTGGGTAACGTTCCTCCATTGCCTTTCGATGACTCTTATGTATACTAGTACCCGCCTCATGTTCTTCCCACTTTCGCTTGTCAGCAACTTCCCTGGTCGACTTGTGTTCAGCAAGGGACATCACGCTCACACCGCCAAGTTGCAAGTTCGGCCCAAGTTGGTGATGCCTTGCTGGACCCTGTGGTGTTGGTGTACCAGGCTCCATTGTGCAATTGCCTGGCCACACGCAGAGGTTGACTTGAGACAGAGCGTGTCTTTCCACACGATAGGCGAGAGACTACATCATGGGCCACCTTGCCGCAAGAAGACTCCAGAATGCAAGAGGGTTTTGACTGATTTTCGACATCTCGTTGAAAAGCTTCGAGGCGTGCCCAGCCAGGGCCAGATCAGAGCAGCAAAGGCCAGCAGCCATTAACTAAACATGGAACATCATGCTAATTTGGCAAAAAAGGAGCCTTTTGCCTAAAGCTAAGGTGGGCACTTGCGACTGCAGGACGCTGTGTTAGTCTGTGGTTGGTAGTGCAGGCTGAAGCTCGCGCTGCGGCCAACAAGACGGGGAGGCACCTCCGCATTTCGCACGCTTTCGCTCTTTGCAAACAGCATCAGTCGGAGGCACCGTCAAATACTGACGAAGAAGAAGCCCTGAGCCGAGATGAAGCTCATGCTGCGATGACACTGCACTGCGCGTCGTGACAGGTTGAAGCGAGACAGGACTTCAACGAAGTTAGTGCAGACTGCGTGCTGCTTGCCCTTGGCGCTTCACCAGCCCTCACGGGTGATCAAACAGCTGATTTGCAGTGCTGCTGCAGGAACCGTGATCGAAATGTCAAAAAGAAGCAGGTCGCAGCGCCAGCATCTTATGCCAGTGTGAGTTCGAAGAGGAGCCATGTGGAGATAAGCATGAGGCCTGAGCGAGGTCGAGCTGAGGCTCCGACTGGAGGGCCGGGAGGAGTGGGACGGGAAGGGGTAGGGGGCCCGCTGCTCGGCAGGCTTCCGGGACTGTCGACGTGAAGATGGCCAGGTCAGCAGCTCCTTCTTCTTTTCTGCGATGAGCGAGTGCCAACTGCATGGAAGCTGAATTTCTGAAAGCAGGAGTCCATCAAAGATAAAGATAAAGCCAGGATCGCCACTTACAAAAGTTTCGGTTGTCACGATGTCTGGTCGTTCAGCTTGCTATTGTTGGCTTAGATGACGAGTTGCTAGCTGCAGGACGGTGCAATTGCATGCAATTGAGTTGGTGTTTGCCGTGCGATTGGCTTCATGAAAACATGTGGCGCCAACGCTGAGGACACGGAAGCGGGACTCCGGGGGCAAGAGCTGCAGCAGCCAAGGTGCTAAGGCAGCAGGCCGTAGCATTTCAGAGACATTTCGTTCTTCCTGACGAGGTGCCGAAGGCTGTGCAGGTGTCAAAGAAAGGTGGGCGAAGACGAAAAGCAACATGGCCAGAAACTCGGCCTTCAGATGATCGCCTCCAGCATCTTGGAACCGATCGACCGGTGTTCGCGCTTGACAGGCGAAGCCATGGCGTGGGCTAGCTGAGAACGGTGTTGGATGGCGCTGGTGTGAATTCTGGGCAGCTCTGGCTGGCCAGTTGTCAGCATCCAAGTCAAACCGGATGTTTCACTCGTGTGTGCTAGTTCGGCAGCGGCAGTGGGCTTGCAAAAGCGTGCAACATATGGCCTATGATGTTGTAGGCGCTGCTTGTAATTGCGATGAACATGGATTCAGATTTGCTACGCTGGCGGTGATGCAAGTGTCCTCCAACACTGGCCCCAGGATGCACAGGCCAACAAAGCATGCGGCCTGGTAAGCATGGGACAGAGAAAGAAATTACACCCAGCACGGTCGAGAGGAACTGGGTTCCCGATTGACACTTCAAAGGGGAAGTAGTTTCTGTTTCTGCCGGAGGGCTGTGGGCAGGTTGTGCTGTTGCTTGTGCTGGCCCTTCGAGGGCCATGGCAGCTGCAGACCCGCACCCGCTGCCTTACCTGCTCGCATCTGCCGTGATCACCTCAAGGTCAAACTTTCTATATCCTTGCGCGTAGGTGCACAACTGCAACGCCCGAGGTTTCGTCCTTCGTTACCTTGCCAGTGTGGAAGGCAGCAACCATTGGCCAGTCAGCTTCTCGTCGATGGGATCCACTGCCAATCTGCAGCAGCAACAGATGAGGTCTGGATATGCGTTGACAGCAGAATCCCCTCTTGGACGCTTCCTGGAGGTGTTACAGGGCTGCAAGGGATCATGCAGATAGCACATATCAGAATTTGCCCTTGCAGGCAGCACGGCCACCTTACAGGGGCAGCTTCGTTGTGGTCGCCTGCATGCGTGTTCAGAGCTTCCCCGTCTCTGATTGTGGTGCCCGAACATCAGACCTGAGATGCGGATGGGTTTGGTTGCCTGCAAACTGAACTGGGTTTGCCACCAACTCTTCCGTTTCAATGCCGGATTTGCCAAGGCTCCAGTTGAGTTCACCTGGTAAGGTCTCTGGAAGGACATGGGCCCAAGCGATGATATTCTTTGGTGCAAGCCTTGCCGTGTTAAGATTGCAGCAGGGCATCATGAGAAGTGCATCAGCCTCCTGCAGAGCTGTGTCGCACTTTTCTGAGGCTCAGATGAGGGTTCGAGATGGCTCCGCCGATGTGGCTGGAGCAGTCTATGGGCATCATGCGTGCCTCCGTGACTTGGATCGGAAGCCGTTTCAGGCTTGTCCCTCTGTCAAGCTGCCTGATCCCAAGAAGCTGAGCTCAGGTTACTGATTTCCGTATTTTCCTCAGTCGGTCTCTGGCATGAGCATGAGCAAGAGGAGCCACTGCTCGTTTATGAGCGTCGTTCAGTCCAGGTGGACTGAGCTCTGAGCAGCAAGAAACGCTGTCGTCGAGTCGCTGCTGTCGATAGTCGACCGCCGACCCTAGGCCAACGTCCAGGTGGCCAATCAGCCCTTCGTGCGCTCTTCGATCATGCTCCAAGGAGATCCGCAGGCGGCCGCAAGTCGGTGATCATCTTGTGTCGGCTTGCTTCTTGCGGTTCCACTCAATGTTCAAGAAATTCAAGCTTGCTACTTTACCTATTTGTGCCGCTTGCTTGCCTGGGACATGACAGGTGAGATTCGCGCACAGCAGCCACTCGCCCAATCTGGCAGTGCTTCGCTATCTTTGGAGGCAGGTCTCATTCGTATCTCAAGGCAACTTGAGTCCATACTGAGTAAGCCAGCACCTGTCCGTCCCGAAGGACGAAAGGACTGAGGGCACTATGGCTGGGAACAGGCGTCCAAGTCTTGGCAGCCTTGCCGCTTGCTTTGCGAGCACGCTACAAATGTTGACGATGTAAGGTGAGTATTGCTCGGACAGCTCCGAAGTATGTGGCTGCAGTTGGTGCTAAGGCGAGAGCATCTAAGCATGTCGGCTAGCATGGGCCCAGCACGGGCGGGCTGCGGAGAGTGGTTCAGTCGGCTGATGCTGCCTGCAGGATGCCATGGAAGAGCTGCTGGCTCAAGATGACGACATGACCATAGCAAGTTCCGCATTAGCCTTAGTCTGTGTTTATGACTTAGGACACTTTGTCTCCACAGGTTTGTCCAAAGAAGTTCCCTACGTGACAGCCAAGGTGCTGAGGTCCATTAAAAAGTCTGTTGCGGCTTCCATCGTTTGGGCACTCGGCACTCAGCACTTGGCACTGAGTGCTGGCTGTTGTGTGTCCTTAAGGCAGGATCAATCGTGACTAATCCGCTCGATGTGGCGCAGAACGAGATGTACAAGACAGGGGACAGCTTCCTGGCTGTTCTGAGACACCTGCTGTGTCGTTTTGAAAATTCTTTGAACATCTTCGCATGTTGCTGTGCCCCAGCACTCTAAACCGTAAGCCGGGGTTTAGGGTTTAGAGTTTAGACGGTTAGACCTCAAAAGCGCCAGTGCACGTTTTCGTGTGTCTGTGGGCCCGTGTGGCCAGGCTTCGTTTCGACGGTGATGGCCTCAGGGACATATTCACAGCATTGCTCGTGATGTAACCTTTCTCGAACGCTGGCTTTTCGGATGTATCGCACAGATGTTACTGCAGCGGCAGACCGCTGAGTTCGCATCAAGGCTCCGAGTCATCTTGCCATCTTCCCTCCACAAATCACCAGAGCCAGCCGAGTGGGGCTTGAGTTTAGTCTGCTTAGGGCAGAAATTCTTTGATTGTGAGAGGTTCACATGCACAGAAAACTAAAATTTCGGAAGCGGGGTGGGAGGCAGGTGCCGCACATGCCAGCACAAGCGCGTCCACGCAATGCACATGCCCGCACACACATGGACACGAGCACACGCACCCGTGCACACTCGCAGTGCAGATGTTTGCGTGCAAGTGCAGGCCTGCATTCGCACGCACACGCACGCCGGGCACAAGTGACTCAAGTCTTCGCTCGGCCAGCGAGTCTTGTAATTGGAGTTTTCAATTAGACCAAACGTTGAAGTAGTTGGTGGTGTCAACGAGAAACAGTTTATGGACAATGGCGGCCATCATGAACACTAAATGATTTGCAAGGGGGCGTGGTTCCTGCCACGCTGCGCAGGAGCAGCACAATTGAGATAGAAGGGTGAATGGCCCCCGGAGGCACTCATGCTGGAGTCCATAGGTAGGCCTGCAGGCATGCTTCACGGGTAGGACGGGGGGTCTTCGTTTGGAGCTTGCGCTCAAAAACCTCTCGTTCTGGGCATCCATTCAGCTTTCACTGCATGTCGCTGCAGTAAGTCTCGCCGAGGAAGTAATTCTGGAAGGCACGAGTCAGATCATGCATGCCTGCAGCTGGGGTCGTTGAGGTGAAGCGTCTACAACGTGCGGAGGGCTGCCAATCTCTTACTGCAAAGGCTTACCGTGGAGAGTGTCAGTTCGGCTTCTCCCATCCAGTCTATCATCTGCGCTTAGGTCGGTGGCTTTTTCGAGGCCCGCTGCTGTTCGGGTGCATCGGTCACCAGATGATTTCTGTCCCGAGGCGTTGACAAGAATGTGCTAGCGAGTGCTATGCCAATGGTGCTCACCTGAGATTGTGCCCACTGAGCTCCAAGAAGACAGACGAAGTCAACATCTGCTCGCAGCAAGGCTCTCACCATCTTCCTCACCGATGCCTTCACGCAATGGCAGCTTTGATGTTGCTAAATGTGTACATGTGTGTGTGTGTAGCAAAATGTTGATGGAGTTTGCTGGACATGCTGGACATGATTTTGCTCGTTGTCAGCCAGACGTAAGCTCTCAGGCGACATGCCGGTGAATCGCTTAGCTAGGAAAAGCTTGCTTCAATTCGTCCCCTCTCCGGGGCAGGTCTCGTGCTGTTGCTGAGCAGAAAGACAACCAGGGGCCGAGCTGCAGAGCGAAATCTTGAGCCCTTAACAGCATCCTTCGGCAACAGTGTTTTCCGGCCTGGTTCTCGTGACACCGTGACACCCTTCCAAAGGAGTGGAGATGCCACGCTTGCATGATTTTCCACTGTCGGCCTTGCTGACAACCTGCGACCGTCGACTTCCTGTCTCGCGTAGCAGGGTTTCGGCTACAAGACGTGCTTCCACGGCAAAGCGTAACCTTGTAGTTACATTGATGTGTTATGCAACCGTGCAAACCGTATTGCTGAAATCAGTAGATATGCCGTGCATTGCAGTACATATGCGGAGCGCGTCTATGCCAGCGATTCTTTCCGAACGGCTTGTAATAGTTTGGCGCTGTGCTGCTGGATCTGCGACGATTCGACGAGGCAGCTAATGTTCCCTGCCAAAGTTGGCGTTGGCTAGAGTATTCTCTGCGAGGCGCGGGAGCTGAGTGTACAGCCGCGCATCCTCGTGAAGAAGAGGCTGACCCAGCTAAGCTGCACAGGTGCTGCCCGGCTGCCCGGCCGCAGAGCATGTTGTTTCTGGTTACAGAGTCGGTGCTGAACGCCGCAAGACAGAGCCCGTGTGTGCTTTGGCTTGATCTAAGGACCTGGGACCTGTGCATGCTTCAGGCCATGTGCTGTTCGCATTGGCTTGGAGGGAGTGGGAGATGCGAAGTGCGGGAGCTTTGTACAGTGTAAAGTCGAGACGAGCTCTTGAGCTTCGCATCCTGCGATGTTAGCACTGAAACGGTAAGTGCATTTGAGAATAGTTTGTGGTCTGGGTTTACAATCGACATGGCTTTCAAAGGGTGGGCCATTCTCGTGGCTCGAACACCCTCCGAGGCAACAGCAGGCTCACCAGCTCAAAAAGGAAGCGTCAGCTCAAGAGTATCAAGTGGGGCCTCGTGTTCGTCTTTGGTGAAGCGCCCCTTTCGATTTCCGCTGCTGTTATTTTTTCGATCCCTTCACGAGACGATCCTCCAGGCCGAGGATTTCAGCGGCAGAGAGCAGAAGCCCACAAGCGATTGTCATGAACTGTCACTTAGACTTGGATTGTATGAGCGAAACTGATGTTTCTTGAAGCTTTCTGGCTGTGGCAATCTGTGGCAGAATTCAAGCTTGATGGATTGCCAGTCCTTGCCGTGAAGCCAAGCAGATCAACCTTCTCCGTTGTCCGAAGGTCATAGCGGACTGCTGATTGCTGGAATGGACCGAACAGGCCTTGCATGACTTAGCAGATCCGCACACAGCATTCTGCAAGAACAAGGTTCGCTGAATACGAGACACTGTGACAAAAAGCATGTCGTTGCACATGACGGATGGCATGGTTCTTCCTACTTGTACTAGCCAGCAGGTGCTGTGCAACCGATAGTTCTTGTTGCGCAGAGCGGAACGGCGTCTGTAGACAAGATTGGTGAGATGCTGAACGCGGATGGAATTCCAGCTTCCACATTCACAGCAGCTTTGTGCTAGATCTCGTAGCTTGCAGTCAAGCTGTGTAGTCTCCAATCTGCTGAAACTCACGCAACCCTCTCTTTCTTTCCGCGTTCTCTTGGCTGAGGAGGGCTGAAGCTGCACCGGCTCCCAGCAGAGGAGCTGCGGGTGCACGGCTCGGCACCGCCAGATGCAAAGCTCTGACTCCTGCAGCCAGCAGACGCCAGCGGTCAGGTGCACCGTTTCGATCGAGTCGAGAGTCGTCTGCACAGCCGTGGAAGCCAGGCCGCTACGAGCACTAGAATCCCTGTTGAGTTTGGGTCTACCTTGACTACCCAACTGCCTTTTGACCCCAAAAACCTTTTGTGAAGGACCAGAAGGGCTTCACTAAAGGGTACTTGGGGGTGGTCCTGGTAGTGCTTTAGGGTAGAGGGGCTGAGAGTTCAGGTTCCCCTCTGCAAACCTTTCCTCTAAGGGTCCATGAGCTCATATGGTATTTAAAAACTCCGCAATGTGAGGGTGGCGGTCCTTCCGCTTTTTTTAGCAAAGTGAGGTTCCTGTAGATTGTCGAACTTTGCCGGTGCTACAGCTGTGTCAAGCAGCGCATCTGTGTCCCTGTGCTAGTATTCTCAAGATTGTATTCGGTACTGAAAGCAGAAGCATGATTGCGCTCCCAGTTCCCAGGCTAGTGCAGATTCAGGCAGAAGCCCTCTTGCAGGTCCGCTCCGAGTCGAATCAAGTTCGGGGTCATGACTCCCGGGACATAGTGCGTGCAAGCACAAGCCGGAGCGAGGACAGTCTCTGCCGACAAAGCCAAATCCTGCAATTGTTTTTTTGCTGCATGCATCTGACAGGATCGCGTTGCTCGGGACGGAGCCAAAGACGAGGTTGGGGCAGTAGAGAGAGAGCTGCGACTCCCCCTTTGCGACTTCTCTGCAAGGTGTCCTTATCCGGACCTCTTTCTGAGACACATAGCTTGGAGGACACAGCACCAGATGCATCGGTGCTGTTCCACGCTGAGAGCTTCCAATGCAGAATTCTTGGCAGGAATTCGTGCAGCAGGATTTGGATGCTTTCTGGAGGCACATGCGTACGGAGCGCAGCGTCGCTTGAGTTAGCATTCAATGTGGAAACCAGGCAGTTTTTTCGTGGTTCGGTGGGACGTCGCACACGTGACCGGGCTACAGGTGGTGTGCAACCCCGATTGATGGTCTGCATCGGTCTTGCACTGAGGCTCACTAATTTGCTTGATGAGTCCTGGTCTGATGTGAGTAAAGGTGCGGTTTGCTGGTAAAGCTCTTTGACTACAGTGGCCTGACCCTGGAGAAGGCAACTGACAAGGCTGGAAGAGAAGGTGAGTTTTGATGCAAGGGCGCTTTCGGAGTCACATGGAGACTCAACTAACCAAGCAGGATCAAGCTTTTTTGTGTTACGGTTGTCTCGCAAGACTTTGCGTTCATGTATGAGCATGTGCGCCACTACGAAAACGCTAGTGACTAGTGTCATAGCATGCTAAGAAGGCCCAGCGTAATAATGCCAAGAATGAGGTTTGAACCCCTCCTCAGCCAGCAAATTCCTAGTATGGCAGAAGTAGAAGGGTCCACGTACTTTTCTGCGGGGTCCGGGCATCAGTTTGTACAGCAAGGTGGCAAATCCGGGCAGTCGCATGTCGCAAGACTATGCAAAGCTCCGTTGGCAGGTTTGCAAGTTGAACAGCGAGCTGCACGCTTTGGGCGTTTGTGCAACGGACCAAGTGGAACCTTACCAGCGTGTTCCCTACGAGGCTGGATGCGTCAGCCTACTGCTCAGTAGCGGACCGAACTTGCTGATACTGACACTTCTGTTCTTAGAGAGGGGTAGTGCCGCAGACATGGGAGCAGGCGACCGAATGATTGTAACACCGTCCCACCACGCGTTTTTCTGCCACATCGCAACTCCAAGAACCCTCGTCCCTTTTCCTTCAACTATGCAGTCCGATGCGAACCTTGGAAAGTCGTAGTACGCGGTTGCATCGGGAGGCCTTTGTTCAAAGCCGCCGGTTACGAGAGGCGGTCCAGAGCTGCCCTGGCTTCAGCTCATGTCAGATGTTCCAAACCGTTTCTGTCACACAATGTCGGATGCAGTTGTTCCTCGCAGTTGATTGTAATTATAAGGTACTGGCAGCAAGCTTTCTCGCGAGAAGAGGAGCGGCAGGCCGCAACCCCCTCCAGAGCCATAAGAGTTCTGCGCACTTTCTTGAGTTTCGCATCTAAGTCATCTCCAGGGCTGGCGGGCCCACACCGCTGGCTTTGTGGGTGCTCAATGTGATCTCGCTAGAGGGCAAGGCCAGGTGTGACATACAAATGTCGAAACACGTCGATGTCTTGACAGGGTTTCCTGAGTGGCCGTCCAGACCGACTCAATGATTTGCCGTGATGCGAGCGCATGGCCGAATATTTCTCTCTTCTGCAGATGCGTGTAGCAGATATGTCATAATGCAGGAAGATGAAATCAACTGGGAACGATGACTGACTCTTCCAGGTTCCTGCTCCATGCTACAATGCTACTGTACGTATATTGTCTTCCGTGTGGAGGATGCTGACCCATGCACGGCCGGAAGTTGAGCTGTTTTGGGATCTCATTCTTCTCATGTCTTCCTTCAGTCTCACAGTCTCAATTCCGCAACCTGTCACAGGAATGGCGCATAGGCTAACTCTTGCTCCTGAGACTGTACAGAAAGGAGCATACGGCGCGCTCTTCAAACCAAGGTTGAGACGGTCGCCGCCATGCTTTGCCAAGCCATGCTTGAGCTCGTTTGAACGGCTGTGGGCATCCGCTTGGTGTCTTTGTTTGCGAACCGAAGTCTCTCTTGTAGGCTATAGAGCTTGCATCTGAGCCTTGACTGCAGACTTCCCGTCTTGACACAGTGCAGTCACAGCTTGCCGAAGTCATGTCCTCAACTGGACAAAGCGTCCCTGGCGCATTGGCACGGAGTGTGTGTGGAAAAAGGCGACATGTCAAAGCATTGATCATCCGACTCAACAGCAGGTAATTTCCGGTAGGGCATCCGGCAGGCCACAGCCCAAGCCGCATGCCATACCCTCGACCCGTGGCAGGATCTGAACCTCTGGGTCAGAATGCCTTTAATGTGTAGGTGCCGGTCTATTTTTTTTGGTGCTCTGCATGCTGCGTGCTCTGGATGTCAAAAGGACGGCAAGGTAACCCTAGTCGTTACGAGGCCCCCCTGCAAGTGCCCTGCGTGTGTCTTGTCGGTTTTCGTTTTGACGGCGAGCGCAAGCGGCGGCTCGGACGGGGTGCGGCGACGCGGGCTCGACGGGACGGCGGGCGGCTGCGGCGACGCGGCGATGATGACCCCCAGGTGCCCAGGTGCGGCACTAGGGCCTGCATGCTGGCGGCGGCGGCGGGCGACGCGGGCGACGCGGGCGAGACGGCGACGGCGCGGCGGCTCAGATGAGGACGACGATGCCGGCCCGAGAGATTAGTGGCCCTTCTCTCAGACCCACCAGGCCCTCCCACCCTGACACCCGTCAGAAGCCCCGAAAGATTAGACCCCAGTCCCTGCAGCCTCCAGTCTCCAAGCAGCCTCCACCTATGCCCTGCAGCCTCCAGTCTCCGATGCTCATCCGCCCGCCGCTGATGCTCAGCCGCCCGCCTGCTGATGCTCATCCGCCCACCGCTGATGCTCATAAGCATCGCAGATGCTCATTCACCCGCCGGCTGATGCCATCCGCTTACCCGCTGATGCTCGTTTGGCTCATCGACGCGCCCGCTCATGTTGCTCCGCCGGCCGGCTGATGGCCCGAGGGTAAATGGGGTAAACGGGGTAAATCGTAGCTTCTGGAGACTGTCTGGCTCCATTTACCCCGTTTACCCGATTTACCTCATGTACCTTATTTGCCATCTGACCTCCTGACTGGCGCAAAAGGAGCCCGCCCTGCCTGATGCTCACTGTCAGGAAGAGTTGTCATGGATCCATAACGGACAGGGCCACAAGAACGAGTGTCGTGGATTGCACCTCTAAAGCAGCTGGGTAACTGCTCTGATGCTCATCTTGCGCGCCCATAGCCGCAGCCCGCCCGCAGTCCGCCTACAGTCCGTCCGCAGTCCGTCCGCGCCGCCAGTCCGCCGGGACAGTAAATGGGGTAAATGGGGTAAACGGGGTAAACGGGGCTCTACAGGCTCCCACGTCGCCTCACAGGCCATTTACCCGATTTACCCGATTTGCCGGATTGAAAAAAAAGAATTTATAATCGGGTTTCTTCCTTCGGCTGGGGGCTGGCTGGGGGCTGGCTGAGGGCTGGCTGGGGGCTGGCTGGGGGCTGGGTGGGAGAGGGCTGGGCGTGGCCTGTAAATGCCTGGTTCAACTGTGGCCTTGGTAAATGGGGTAAGTGCCACCCCGTTACCTTCATCCACTGCCGCGCAATCTGCCCATCCACTGCCGCGCATCTGCCCTTCCAGCGCCGTTTACCCGATTTACCGATATACCAAGTTTACCTCTGAGAGGTTGGCCGCCACCACCCCATGCCCGCCCGTTCCACGCGGCCGCCGGATGCCTGCCCGTCATCCTGCTCTTTCCCGGCCCTTGCAGACTGACGGTGTTTGAACATCGACACGCTTACTCTCTGCTGCTGCTGCTGCTGTTGCTGCTGCCTGCTTGCTGCTGCTACTGCCACGAAACGACGAATGCTACTGCATACCACCACTACCAGAACCATTGCAGTTATGGCTGCCAAAACCGCGACCACTATTCTACCACCACAACCGGCGCTTCGTGGGTACCATCGCACGGGCTTGAAGACGATGAAGATGACGGGTGCTATCATGAAGATTACAAAGGTGCTTGACGACGAAGGTTGTGTTGGCCACTATGTCACGATGACTGTTTCGACACAAGACAAGACTACTTGAGACTCGACACAACCTTCTTGCTCAAACATGACACTTATGGCTGCAGTGTTACAGGTATCGTCAGTGCTGCTGGTGTTGTTCTGTGCATCGCTCGCATTACTAGTAGATCTACTCGTCGCCGCTCCGATTGCCTTGCTGTCATTGCTGGAAACCGGTCATCCCTGTGATTGCATAAGCTGATGTCAGCGATGCTTGCTTTGGCATGACCGCTATATAATTTCAAATTCGTGTTTCAATTTAGTTTAATCGAAAAGCACGTAGGGCAAGGCCATCAGAACATGCATTTGAAGGTTGTAGTTGTGAAGGGGTGACTGAGGGCTGACATTCGCAGGGCAACGGGCTGGGATCGCCGGGCCGAGGACTCCCTCGCCCTCGCGCGAAGTGCCAAAAGGATCTGAAGGATTTGTCTTCTGAGGTCTTCTGCAGAATTTAGGGGTCATGCTGGCCTTAGGGTTTTGAAGCGGAGTTTAGGGTTCTAGGTTTTCTGACTTTGATTGATCCCGTGTAGCGGTGACTGGCTTTTCGCAGCTGCAAGGTTTGAGCCTTAGCCTTTGGACTTTTCAGCTTGAGGTTCCGATTTCGGGCTGTTTTGGACTCGCACAGCCCGGAAACAAGCAACGTCAAGGGCAATCCAACCAGGGGGGCATGCAGATGCGGGTACAAAACACAATAATCCATTCCAGACGGTGATGATCGCGACCAGAGGGAGTAAACTTCGGAGTAAAGGATCAAAGGAACGACCCTAATCCCAAATGCTGTCAACCCTAAACAACCTCCGACCGGTGGCTCAACAGGGCGGGTTTAGATGGAGTCACGTTCCTTTCAATGGAATGGAAGGCCTTCTTGCCGTGTTGGCATGGCTCCCACGAAAACGCAGGAATGTCATCTGCACTCGCCTTGCAGGTGTGGAGGGAGAGAATGGCGGTCACTGGCCCAGCTTGCTGTGGGAGCAATAATGAGAAGAAGTTTCTTGGAGTTGCTGATTAGGTGATGGGGCGGTGAGGTCGTAGGTCTCTGTCAGCTCGGACTGCTGTCCAGCTTTTAGGCATCTCTGCTTCCTCAGCCCGTCGTCGTTGCACACTGAAGCTTGAGGCTGGGATCGCCTGTGGTCCGCGCAATCCGAGAAACTTGGCTATGCTTAAAGTTTGAAAGGGGTCGAGATTCCCTGTCCGCCAGTTCTCAATCTGGTGAGATTTCGAGAGCCGCAACAACCGCAACAATTAAGGTGGCTCCCGAGATGAATTGTTTATTGTTCCCCATGCATGATCAGTTGATCGCTCTTTGTTCACAATCTCCCTGTTGTCTCGGCCTTGAGCATTGCTGACCCCTCCGATCTCCCCTAGAGTAACTTGCTTCTCTTGTGTGTTTTGTGACGCCTCTGCTGCAGCTTCTCCGGTGTTCTGTCAAGCATCATCCAGCTGGAGAGCCACATGTGCCCGAGCTGCGAGACGGGGTTCGGGTGGCCCTGCTTCTCTGAGCTCCTAAGCATGAGCTGACTACTGAAATTTTCTTGTTAGGAACGGCTTGGGGTTCTCAGCACTGGCTACCATTCGGATACCGCGCCTCCGCCTCCCGGCGCTGCGACCACGTCGGAACACCTCCCAGTGCGGATGGGGACAGGGACGCTCTGGGACAGCCTACAGCGAATTCGGAGGGAATTTGATGTCAGGATGACACAGTGTTTGCAAATTACGCGGGCCCGCGGAACTGCTTTGGTTTGCGTGAGTTAGAATGAGTCAGAACAAACCGGAGCTGAGCTGGAGTGTTCTGAAATGTCTAGCATACTGCGTTCTCCGTGACCTTCGGTACCGGTTCCTCCTTCAGCTGTGCTAATAGCCGCCAACCGATGTGATGGCAGGCGTGTTGCGGAAATGCAACGAATGCTCAAGTCAGCATGCCGTGATGCCCTTGCCTAGGGAGAAGAGATGAGACCTGTACGAGCGGCCCTGTCTTTCCCGACACTTTCTGCTGAGGCCGCTTCCCTGACTGAGCAAGCCGATGCACTGAACGCAGTCGCCACCAGCTTGTGCCCAGAGGAATCTCACTGCTGGGCTGCATGATTTCCTGAGCCGAGTGTCTGCCCTTGGTGCAGGGTCAGCAGCTTCGGCCAGCAGTTCCAGCAGCACATCCCAAGCCACAAGCAGCCCAGCCGTGCCAGCAACCGCTGCCGGCAGACGAAGGCGCTGGCAGGCAAGAGCAGCTTCTAGTCCCTGTCGCTGTCGCCACTGTGATACCTGGAGCTGCAGTTATCCTCCAGAACCCAGTCTGCAGACGGCGCAAACGGTACAAGGTGCCCGGCATTCTTTGGAGCAGAGCTCATTTACCGTGAGCCCTATCATCGCTCCGCAGGGCCAGAGGATGCTGTGCAGGAGGCCGTTTGCTCAGAGGTTTTGGGTTGGAACGTAAACTCAAGCTGCCATGGATTAGATGCACACACTGAGCGGCTGCCAGGCAAAACGGTATGCACCGCTTCGTAAAGTATGTCCTGCAGACCGTGAGTCGTGGTC